ACTCAACTTTTTTTTCCCTATTTCAGTTTATTCTCATCCAATCAGAGGTTCGCATTCATATTTCAATTTATTATCCTATCAGCGCAACAATTTCATTTTCTGTAGCTTTCACTTCTTGGTTTTGAATAATCGATAACATGGAACTCCGCTTTGCTTTATTTTTACAGAAGTTTAAAAATTGATAACAGATTCTAGTGGAGAAAAATACGCTCTTTAATACTAAAGTACTAAAAAGTAAAACCTGTGCTTTACAGCTTTAATTTATTTTTATTTAAAAGGAAGAACTGAAACTGTTGAAGAAAGCTTTTCAGTTGTCGTTGCGATCTTTAAAATAACTGTATATCAATAGAGTTAACTTTGTAAATGGAAGAAGAAAAAAAAAAAGGGGGGTAATACAATAGAAATTGTACTTTCAATAACACAAAGTTATTGTTTCGTCTTGACCTATAAATTCAATATATTACTTTTGATAAAATAATGTTTAAAGATATAATTTTCATTGGTTAAAACTCAATTAAATTGTAAATCAGTGGTTTCCAACTGGCGTCCCGGGGGCCGTATCCGGCCCGCGGAGCTTTTTTTGTGGCCCGCGAACTAAAATATATTAGTTGTCATTTTTTTCGGAAAATTTTCGTAAAAAATATATATGGGTTTAAAATACTTTTCTCGTTAATGAAAACCTAATTACTTCGTTTCTGTGAAATTTATCATGCCAACGGTGCAAAAAAAAAAATTATTTCTCAGGTTTTGCATCCAAGAAAATATTTATTCAAATACAAAAATGATCGTGTAAGGTGCTCTTATTCATTTCATTTTTTTTTGTATTTTGTGAATATAATTTAGCATGTGCGTATCAGAAATTTTCTCGAAGAAATTCTCCGATTTAACTTTTTGAAATCACTCATTTCAGACGAAAATATTTACACACACATTAGTAAATTTTAAATTTCAAAATGTAAATATCTATTCTCTGGTGGTTGCAGCAGACAAACCTTAATTTTGTCATTGAACATTTTGTGTGCTACTATGTAAGTTTTAATACCAACATTTTCAAAGTTTTATATCGTAACAATTAGATATCTGTTGCACATTAATTGTTTAATACATGGGTGCACATTAAAGTTAATGTAGGCCGAATTTTTTAATATGTAATTAAATATTTTTTAAAATCAACTTCTTAGTAAGATCATAAAAGATCATAAATAGTAAGATCATAAAAGAGTCCTACTTAAAATTTAAAATTTTGATAAAGTTGCGGTCCGCCATTTGATTTGCGTTTTTAATTGTGGCCCCTGGCTACATGTAAGTTGGAAACCTCTGTTGTAAATTATCCCCAAGGTAAATGATTAATTTAATAGTACTTTTTCGATAATTGTTTATCAACCAAACCTTTTATTTATTAACAACTAATGGTTAGCTTAATTGAAAAAATTGCTGTAATAATTATTTTACAGTCTGGGACTAAGTTGCATAACTGATTATAACTACGTGACACTATGTTTTCGCTGGCAGGCTTAAAGACCACCTACTCTGTATGAATTATTTGGTTTACTAAAGCTCGCAAATCAAGTGTCTTAAGATTTGTCTAGGGGGAAAAACCGATTATTAATTTTATATTAGTATTAGTTTTGATAGATAAAGTCTAGTTCGTTCACCAGGAGTTGACACTTGTTGCTCCATCATCTCCTCGGACGAAGAATTCATTTCAGAGCGGGAGTAAGCGGGAGTACCAAACACTAACAGTGAATTCTTTTTAAGTCACTTACTTCACTTTATCATCTGACCTTTTTGTTACTCTATCTAATTAAATATATTTTAAATTTAAAAACGGCTGGGTGCCCAGCAAAATGTTTTAAAAAGGACAAACTTTTCACTCAAAAGGGAGAAATATCATCAGATTTATGAAATATTTAATGTTAAAAAAATGTACATAAAGAATGCGAAATAAATATTTTTGTTATACGATCGCCAAAATAACAACTTTTTTCAAGATTGTTCACATCCTTCTCTCAAAAATAGCGAAATAGCATCGTCGCGTCTGATGAAGGCGGAGCCAAGTCCCGACTGCTGGTGAACGAACTATCAAGACAAAAATGTTGTATAGAGAGGCGAAATATGTAACGAGGGGCTTTACAGAAGGTAAAGCTTGACTATCCCTACCCCTAAAAACGGTACACGGTACACGAAATATCAATGTTCAAGAACATAGTCACTTTTTAAAGAAAAAATTACAAAAAAGTTCATATTTACCACGTCCAAAAAATTGTAGCAATCTCTAAACTGTCGCAAATAAAACTTTTCGAGATCAAAATCATCTCTATCAATAGCAAGCGAAGATCTTCGTGCCAATAAACATTTCTCTATAATAGATTTTGAGGCACTGTTCAGTAGTAACAACCTAGTTGAAATTAGTGAAACAGCATCAGACATTAAAGCTTCGATTTCTCTATTATGATCATCAGAATGCTTACCTTCCTCAAAAATTAGATTGGTAACTATTGAATGCAGATAACAGATTGAATGCCGAATAGAGATTGTTCCATCATTTAAAATATTTCCCTCATAATGATCAAATAATCTAGCTTCAACCAATTTTAAAGCTCCTCGTGTATCTAAAATCCCATTAAGATTTAACTTATTTGCATTTCTAAAAAAGCATTCAACATCACTTATAAAATATTTTAAGTATTCTTTTGAACTCTGGCTCTTGGGATTCAGGAAATTAACCGTATCAATACTAAAAAGAAGTGAAATAAGCTGCTGACGTGTCTCATTAGAGCTATTTCTAAGTGCTTTTAAGATCGTATCAATTAGAATATATTCAGGCTTATCTTTATGAATGACTTCTTTTAGCTCACAGATAATTGAATGAGCTTCTAACTCATCTTTGTTCAGGGAATATTCTACGGGAGGGTGAAGAGAGATACAATTAGATTCTTGAGTGACTTCTTTAGCGTTTATGAGAATACCACAGAATTTTTGAGCTCTGTTGTTTTCCTTGATAACTTTTAAGGTCTTCTGAAACTTCTCCTTAAGTCTCATATGAGAAAAACATACCTATATAGAATAAAATTACAATTAAGACCTGGTAATACTTGTCAATGAAAAGTTTAATGATATTTTTTGCCCTGAATTATCCGAGGAAGATTTATTGCATTAAAATAGCTGTAAAATTTAAACCAAAGTTACACCTTCAGAAAAAGTTGAGATTTGTGTAACGTTATTTTAAGTCTATAAATGTTCATATTTCGTTATTATGGTAATTAAATTATGAATTACGAGAATGAACTCTTTCTTTATGCGCCATTATATTTGAAAGTGCAATTATATTAACTCCATTTATAAAACGCCATTACAATGTAGAAAGCGCCTTTACATTGAAGAAAACACTATAACACTAAATAGAGCCGTTACTTCCTACATCAGAAAGCCTCCACACGGTTTCTTGCAAGCAGTCTGCGCAGAGCACTTAAAAAGTCAACCACTTGTGCGCATGAACCCAAATTCTATTTTAAAAATACTTGAGAGAAATTTATCATATATATCTTAGAACTGAATCTATAGTGGTTGACAAGTAAATAAAACAANTGGGCCGGGAATTTTTTTCCCCTCCCTTTTATGTGCTTAAGTTAGGTCCATCTTGAGCAGATTCATTATCGTTACTAGGTTTACTAGTACAAAGATCCTAAATTACTTAACAGTAGAAATCTACTTACTCTGTTGTTCCAAAAATGCCATTTAGGGAGAATTTGCAGAATGGCCTGACGATACATCGTATATAATTTCAGATAAATTTTCCACACAACTTTTTCACTAAACCAAGTATACACTAGTTTTCTAAATAGAAAAAAGATTTATTAGTAAGCAAACACTATGTAGAAATTACAAGACTTTATAGCCTTACCTTATTAATTTGTAAAGTAAACTCTCGATCAACCAGATTATCCCGAATGATACGTAAAATTGCGGCAACTAAAATTTACGCCTACCTTGAATTACATTATGACAAATTATACTTGATGAATTGGCGCAGAAACAATTTAACTAATAATCTTTAAATGCATTTTAGACAAAGTATTTTTTCTCTGTTCCAATTAATCAAGAGAATTGTGTTAATAAAAGTGTAGGGAAGGCAAGGTTAGTCTGGTTGGTAAGGCACTGGACCTATGTCCAAGAGTTCGTCGGTTCGAACCCTGCCAGCCGAAGACTCCCCGTGCAGTAAATTGTGACCGTTGTACGTTAAATCTGTCGAGTCACAAAGTCCTCCATGTTCCCAAAACAAATTAAACCTCTGGGGGTACTGATCCAGGAGTTTCCTTGTCTTCTGGATTGATTCAAAATTACAAAGGCTACTGAGTTGAACATTAGTAGTCGTAAACACAAAATTGAGTCAGCTGTTCAACATTATTAAATCTAACATTATCATTAAAAAGCATTATTAAATCTTAAATTTTGTAAATTATTATATCATACTTAAATTGCGTTGCGTAAAAATAAATTTTATTTTAAGCTCTTGAGAAAAATACATTTTTGCTAAATTAAATTTTATGCAATTAACCATTAATTATCATTTAAAAGTTAATTTACTAAAGTTAATTTGAATAAAATATCATTTGAGAACCAGATTCGGAGCATGTTAAGAAAAATAAAATTAGTAATCATAAATCATATTAAGAATCAATATAAAATCATCAATGCTACAATTAAAATATACCCCGAGTTGATTTTCAACACTACTTCTTTATGTGACGTTCGTTACATTAACAGGGGTCTGTCCAGACATTTTGTGAAAGGTCCGTTTTTCGTGAAATTGTGAAAAAATTACTCACATTCTTTCAACCAGGGTCCGCTTTAATGAATTTGTGCAAATAGGGTCCGTTATTGCAAAAATAATTTTTTTCAAAGAGTTTTTAAATTGTAAAGACATACAAGATTATGCTCAACACTGTAAAATTGTAATTAAAAAAATTAAATTTTAAAAAATAAACAACAATTGCTCCTTCTAAATTAGAGATGCAACATACAAATGTTTGGTATTTAGCCTATACTGCTGAACGCAGAATATTCATTTCGGACGAATAATGGAAGAATCGTCTGCCGAAGACAAAACTTAATTCGTTTACATCCATCTTTCTTGTTTTCTGCCCTGGAAAGGGTTTATTCGATTACAAAATAATAATGAAGATAAAAAAATTTGTGAAGGGTCCGATTAAAAGAAAATTCATTTTGTGAAGGGTTTGTTTAAATTAAAATATTTTGTGAAGGGTCCGTTTTTATGAAAAGATATTTTGTGAAGGGTCCGTTAACGGACCCAAATTTCTTCTCAACAGACCCCTGATTAATCATTTACTTTTTCAAAGTAAAATCAGTAGATAAAATATTAAGATACACATGATTATACAAAAGATATAAAAGGCAAAAATAATTTAATAATACCTGGAGTGGAGTGAGTTAAAAAAATATGTGCACGTGGGAAAAAAAAAACTAAATAATTATCGTGTTTTCCATTACTTGTTAGATCAAATTTAGAAAAACATTATTATTCATTAAAATTTTGAATTACCTAGGCATTTACTAAAGAAGAATTTAAAAAAATAAATTAAAGTAATTTACGCTTCGGCGGCCTCTGAAATCGCCGGTGGATCCACCGCTCACGACCTGTTCACGTACAGCTCTCGCTTTGGACTGCTAGGAAAAAGAGGGCAGGCAGCCTACTACAAATTTTTGATTGGTCTAACACGTTGCTGCATCATGCTTTAGTTGTCGAACGGGTTGCATGCGTCAGAGGGGGAGAAGTATCTCTAAAATGTAAAAGTTAATTATCCACTCTAAGCAAAAATATTCTGTCACTCCATTACTAGAATAATACAAAAAGTTTATTCTTGATTACCACACATTATTTTAACTCTGCGAGGTTTAGAAATTTAGAAACTAGTGGCATATATGGCCTGCCGATATAACATGAGCAAATTTATATCTGGCAATTAGATACTTAAACTTCATGAAGATGATAACAGGTACCGAAACATGTGGCCTAAGACGTCATTGTCAGCTAATTTATAAGCAAAATGGTGCGTTAAAATTTAGCTTCTTTACCTGTTAAGAATGTTAATTAACATGAAGTTAATTAAATAGAACGTCGTATTACACATCGAATTTGTTGAAATATATTTCTTTCTAGTTTACTTCTTTCACTCAACTTTGAGTTATTATATGTTTATCTATTGTATTGTAAGCATAATATATTGCATTGTTACTTTGATGCAAAATTATTCTGTTTATGTTGTACATGGCTTTGTGTCTGTTATTGTATTAAGTAAGAAATACGTAGAAGAAGAATTGAACTCTTTGTGAAAGGAAGAATGTGTCACCTGAGAAAATCAATACTCGACGGGCATGGCTTAATCGAAATAGAATGGAAAGGACAGTTGCAAACATAAGCAAATGCCTCATTTCATTGACCAATCAGATTGAGACACATACGATGCGTCACTTTCCGTGCGGTTATATCATTGAACTTTAACCAATACTTATTACGACTTTTCGCTAGTGATTCGCTCTAGTCTCACTTTCTCGATTATTAAAATCGACTTATCTGCCTGCACAAGTAAAATCGAAAACCTACACTGGCATTAGACTTATCCTCAATGTTGGTAAGAACAGAAAAAAAATCTTCGTAAAACGGGGTAATAAACGCACACCAAACAGGTTTAGCACGGTAATTAGCATGATTTTTACCCTCTAAATATAAAAAATATTCCCCCCTGTTTTCTAAAGGGAAACATTTTTCCCACCCTCAGAAATTTTTTTTATTGTTTCTGCTATCTGTAAACATCCTAAAAGCGTACATAAAAGTAGTACTAAAACAAGAATTCATAACGTAGTTCAAATATCTTTTATTAAACATTGCAGTATAATATATGATCATTTTAATAACTTAAGTTCTAAAATTTTTTGCAAGGATCAAAATTTATTTCATATTCCTAATAGAACATATTTTGTCCTTTTTAACTCTTTTTTTCTGCCATAGAGCCCTATTATTACTCCTTTATACTACTTAATATAAAAAGTATGACAAATAATAAGATACTGTTCAAAATGCTTATATTAGATTTAGAAAAAATATGTTTGTAACAGGTTAAATATTACTAGCTTTTCGCTGTTGCAAAAAATTTTTTTGTATGTTTAAGTGACCCAATATATACTAAGCAAACAATTTGTACGTGTTATGTTTAAGTAAGCAATGTGTTGTCATTCCCAGGAAAGGATTGCTACGAAGTCTTTTTCTTTTTAATACCGCCTGATGGCGTTCGTTTCAAATTTGTATGTATTTGTTTGCTCTTTGTTAATAAACCTTTACTTTCTGTTTGAGTCTCGATCTCCACGGACTACAGTTGGTAGCAGAGCGTGGTTCTGAGCAGTAAAAATTTTCACTAAGTTTCGTCGTGATTTACATCTTGAGATTCCGAAATGAATAGGGATCTGCCGAGTATTCCGCTGTTTAACAGTGACAACTTCTATCAGTGGTACATTAAAGTTAAGGCTTTGCTAACACTCAAGAAAATTGTAAGTGTCCTTACTGAAGAGGGCCCCGTTGATCCAAAATTGCGGGACACTAAACAATGATGATGCTGTAGCGTACATTCAACTTTCTGACGACCAAAGTCTTTCGCCAACGATGCAAAAATTCAAAGCACATTTACTGGTAAAACCGAAGATCCCAAAATCGATGCAAGTAACGAAGTAAAAAACCTTGAAATGAAAGAAAATGTCTCAGACTATATTGCAAGATCACGTGGACTTGAAACGAAATGTTCGTCACTGGGACTGGAAATTTCAGAAAGAGAATTTGAAAAACCCTACGTGAAAAAACAAATAGATGGAATTTTAGAGAGAAGAAGAAAACAGCGTATTAAAATGATATTTCTAGAAGCATTCGGACATAAATATGGAAATAGAAGCACGAAGAAATGTTGCCATAAGACTGCTATTTCCAAAACAAGAACGAGGGAAGTCAAGACCCTCAAGAAAAAAGAACATTTTCGAACTATAAATTGGGCATGAACAAAACGCTCATTGTGCATTGCATTTGAAAATCAAGATAAACATTGTAGTGATACCGCTGAATCACGTAAATTCTAGTGCTACAGGTAAAAACAAAACTATTTTCATTCTGGATTCACGCATAGTAAAAGACTTATTTGAAAACATAAGTCATGTTAATGGAAAAATACAATTAGCAGGTAAGAAGACAAATTTTATTTCTAAAGGTATTTTAAAAGCTACTACAACAGCTGATAATTACAGAAAAAATCTATCAATGTATATATGATGTTATATATGTACCAGAGTTACGAAACAATTTAATATCTAAATTAATTGATAAAGGTTATAAAATTGAATCTAATGGTAATGATATTTTGATTTTAAGTAATGACAATCGCATTGTTTTAAAAGCTGTAAAGTAAACAATCATTTTGAAATTTTAATGGAACCGTGTGATAACATTTAACCTAATTTGTTTGATTATAATGATGTAAATAATTCTGAGTTAGAATATAATGAAGTAAGTAATTTAGATACAGTTGAACTCGTTTATAACGAGCATAAAGGGACCGTAACATTGTACTCGTTAAATCCGAGTGCTCGTAATAAACGGGTCCTTTAGGCAGGCGTGCAACCAGAAGAGGGGGGGGGGGCTTTGGAGGTCAAATGATTGAGTTTACTTAAAATTTAATTAATACTTACTTACTTTATTTACATTAATTAATTTAATCAAATACTTTTCTTGCTTAATAAATTAATTATTACTTACTAAATTTAAATAAATACTTTTATCGGCCATGACCGATAAGGCACGAAATCGATACGCCACCGCCTACTCTCACGTGACTTTTCCCATGCTTTAGATTAGAGCGATAAGGGCAATTAAGTTTCAGTTCGCGGTTTTTTTGATTTCGCGCGCATTTCTTATAATTTTGAAAAAAAGATAAGACTAGAAAGATGAGAAAAAAGATTGCAAGACAGAAAAATATTGCTCGCTAAAACCGGGTCTTTCTCGTTAAAAGCGACTTCTGTTCCATAAACTTAACATTGATCCAACCAAATATTCTCGTTTCCCTCGGTAAATCCGAGTTCTCGTTAAATCCGAGCTCGTTATAAGCAAGTTCGACTGTACCTATAATATTTGGCATAAGATACTTTGCCATTTAAATCCACAATACGTGGTTAAAATGTCCTTGGCATAAATTTTAAAGATTTTGAAATTTACTATTGTGAATCTTGTGATATAAGTAAAGTAACCCATAGGAGTCATCCAACTATTAATATTGCACAAAGTAATTCCATATTAGAGTTCATTCATACGGACCTAGCAGGCCCAATAAATTGTGATTCAATAGGGAATTCAAGATATTTTTTAGCTCTAGTGGATGATTTTTCTGGGATGTACTTTTATTTTATTTTGAAGCATAAAAATAAAGTATTTGAATTGTATTGTATGTTCAAAGAAAGGTATAAAGATGAAATGAGAAAGAAAATCAAAAGATTCAGAACAGAAAACGAATTTGTTAATAACGAGATTGATAGTTTTCTAGAAAAATACGGGATCATACATGAAAAAACAGTACCGTATAATCCTTCGTCAAATGGACGTACTGAGTGAGCCATAGGAGTATTAGTAGAAAGGGCTAGGACATTATTATATGAAAGTGAGGTCCCATTAAATTTTTGGGTTGAAGCGATAAATTTCAGCGCTCACATTTCTAATCTTACACCGCGTACAAATAAACAAAATCTTCCGATTGAAATATGGTCAGGAAAGGAACCTAAACAACTTAAACGTATTCGGATGCGTCATTTATTTTCATATACCTAAACCCATAGACCTAAACAATTCCGAAATAAATTTGATATTCCGGGAAAACGTGGGATTTTCGTCGGTTATTCTAGAGAAAGGCGCTCTTATAGAATATATGATGCTGATAAAAATATTGTAATTGATCTGTCAAATTTAAGGAATCATTAAGGGGAAGTAAATTTCTAACAAACAAAAATGAATGTAGCATATGGAACATTGAGGATTTGATCCAGTTTAATATATCTCTACCGCAAGCTGAAACTGAAACCTATAACTCTCCTCCAACTGAATCACGGAGTGAACATTCTTTTTCTCACACGTCTCTAGAAAGAACCGATTTGCAAAATGAAAATAATCGAAATGCTCCGGCATTAAGATGTTCTGAAAGAATAAAAAATAAAATATCCGTGAACGCCAGCTTCATGGGTGAAAGCCCTTATGTAGCAAGACGGAAAAGAGAAAAACCTGGTACATAAGACATTTCGTTCCAGCATTTTTTCCGAAAAAAATAAAATATCTTAACTATCAAGATTTCTTTTAAAATTTTAGCATATATATAAAACTGCTTCTTTTCGAAGATAAAGTAGATATTGTTGAATAATTTAAAAAAAGAATAAATAAACTCCTCCCCAAAACTAGCTATAACTGAAAAGATTTCACTACCAGCCTTTACTATTTTCCGTCTCGCTTTCACCCTTGGCCCAGCTTAGCCTCGAAAGGATTATCTGTTTCTCAAAATTATAACCAGTCGAAATAGTAATAAATATTCGGAGTGAAAAACCGCAATGAAAAATGAACTTCTTTCAATGGAGAAGCATAAAGCTTTCGAATTAATTGAGAGGTGTAAGAAGAAAAATATAATAAAAAGTAAATGGGTATGTGCATACAATCCAAAATTACGATGATAACAAAATTTACAAAGCGAGACTGGTTGCAGCCGGGTTTA